GTGTGTGTGTGTGTGTGTGTGTGTGTGTGTGTGTGTGTGTGTGTGTGCGCGCGCGTGCGTGCGTGCGTGCGTGCGTGCGTGTGTGTGTGTGTGTGTGTGTGTGTGTGTGTGTGTGTGTGTGTATGTGTGTGTGTGTGTGTGTGTGTGCGCGCGTGCGTACGTTCGTGCGTGATTGTGTGCGTGCGTGCGTGCGTGCGTGCGTGCGTGCGTGCGTGCATGCTTGCGCGTTTCCGGAACTGGCCACTTATATAAACAATATTTAAAAGTACTTACAACATTTGAAAATGGAACTCTTTGGTTGTAGAATACAGTTTGTTTCATTTGACTGTCACTTGTTTTTACATTGTGGCGTCATTTTAGATATTGGTTGTCTACATCACCAAAGATTTAGCTCGTGAAAATTTTCGTAGTATGATTTTCTACGACTTTCAGTCAAATTTAACAGGTCAGCGGACCTTCGCTCGGCTTCAAACTGCTTATGGCGATGAAGCACCATGCAAGACGGACTATTTGTAGCTGGTTTTCAGAATTCAAACGCGGTCGTGTGAATCTCTGTAACGAATTTCGTAATGGTCGCCTGTCCACTGCTGTGAACAACAAAAACGTCGATGCTGTGCGCCGTATGATCAAAACGGACAGGCTTGTGACGTACCATGAGATTCGGGCATCTTTAGGCATAGGCATGAGTCAAATAAAATCAATACTACACAAACATTTGGGTGTGAAAAAGCTGTGCTCTCGGTGGATCCCTCGGCGTCAAATTTGGTGTGGGACATAGTAACAGGTGATGAAACATGGATTTATAGTTACGATCTCAAAACAAAGCAGCAATCGAGCGTATGGGTCTTTCGAGATGAGCCGAAACCAACCAAACTAGCGCGCGTGCAAAGTGCCTCTAAGCGAATGATTGCTGCTTTTTTAAATAAAACTGGACACGTGGCTATTGTTTGCTTTGGAGAATCGTTGTACCGTGAATAATGATTGGTACACGACCATTTGTTTGCCGGAAGTTATTGACAAACTCCGTAAAAATAACCGTAAACGCCGTATCATCTAGCACCACGATAATGTCAGTTCTCACACGGCCAGACTGACAAATGGATTTTTGAAGGTGAACAACGTTGACCTTATGAACCATCCTGCGTACAGTCCCGACCTGGCACCTTGTGACTATTATTTATTTCCAAAAATTAAGAACCAGTTACGCGCTCATTGATTTTCATCTTCTGAAGAGGCTGTCGAAGAGTATGAAAAATATGTTTCATGTCACGGAGAAGTAGCATAAATGTTTTCAAAATTGGTTCATTCGTATGAAAAAGTGCATTAACGTTAACGGAGAATATTTTGAGAAACAATAAATTCATTTCTGACCATTTATAGTATGTTTTTCTTATTCATTCCAGAAACTTATAGTGCGCCTCACGTAGCAATAAAAAGCTCAGTGTTTTATTCATTATGCGGGAAAAAGTGCTGTGCTAAATAAGATGGTTTACGTATTTACTAATAAATGTTGGTCTTACAAAAAATATACGATACATCTATATTTTGGATAATGTGAAAATATGAATGTGCTAAAGTGTTACACGATAGGATGTACTTTATCCGATCATATAAAATCCTGAAAACAGGCTAAAGTAAAAGTCTAAAAAGAATAATCTATGAATGAAACATGTATCTTTGTACATAATTTTTATGTTGACATATTTCTCTTTAAGTACTACAGGGAATCTACTAAATTTTGGTTTCCAACTGAAAGTTATTAAATTTAAATTTATCCTAAAATTTGCAAATTGTCCAGTGGTTTAGCGACACGCCGCGCCACGCGCTGCCCTGTCAGTCGGCATCAGGCATTTGTGGACGTCGGATCTTTTAAAAAAAAAAAAAGTGCGCATTTGACCTCCATCTCATCTGATAGAAAGTGATGATGAGGTCGACGATGTAGCGTTCACACCTAAATATTGCCTACTCACTCTCGCCTTGAAAAGGTCCAAGTTATAACGTTCAGGGAACAAGTCCGCAGGCAGGGAATTCCACTCCCTGGCCGCTCGCCATATAAATGTGGAAGCGAAACGCTTCGTGCGAATACTGGGAATATCCACAACTGTGTCAAATTTTCTACGCCTGTTCTTATCCCCTGTAGTCGTCGTCGTCGTCCCTCCGCCTCACCTCGTCTAAAATCTAGGCTCGCGTTGAAGCGTTGAATTCAGTACTGTGAAAAATAACAATTTTGATTATTTGTTGTATTTTTTTGTTGTAGGCAGAATCGGACCTGCCAAGAATGCGCTACGAAACGTTAATCGGTGCAACATTTGGTCCCGATAAAATAACGGCCTGGTTCAGCAACTATGGTTACCATGATTCGGCTATCTCCCTCGCACTCGTGAACAACGCCATATTGCAAAGTCAAATGCCTAATAGCACGCTGGAGTTTGTCAATTATCCACTGCCGTATACGATTGAACATTTGGTATGTAGAGGAAGGACTACGCTCAACTGGTGTCCTATTGTAAACAAATATTTCGGTTTTTATATGAACACTTTTATATTTTTAACGTTTTGTTTTTATTTTTAGGTAAAAGTGATGGCCACCGGTAGTAGTATGGGATTCCAGTTCGCTTTCAACATCGGATTTTGTATGGCTTTCGTCACTGCGTTCCTTGTACTATTTGTTGTCAAGGTTTGTGGGTTATTGTACAAATAAATGTAAATAAACTTAGACAACATCACATGCGTTGCTGTGATCCTAAGAGGTAGTCGCTATATTTTCAACATTTATCTTTTTTTTTTAATAATAATAATATTCTGTACCACCTTTACCATTTTAGTCCTACACTTTCACTTATCATCACGTGAGATGGTAGTAACGTAAGGCATCTTCTAACGTTTGTCTCCTATATTACCTAAACAAACTTGTCCTTTAGAATACAACACAAATGTCGTTTCTTGCACGAAAAGAGATATTACATAGAACAACTAAAGCATAAAATGGTTACGTACAATATTACAGCGTTATTGCTGAGTAGCTATCTGTTCCTGACAACATTAGAGTATCGATGATCAAAATTACAAAGGGAATGCACTAAATATTACGTACAGTTATATAATACATTCTTGTTGTTTGTAATATGAAATAAAATTACTTAAAACATGTATTACTTGAATCGCAACGTGTCCCCGTTAATTATGTTACAGCTTTATAATCTTATTATTATAGCTTTGCTCATATCGCAAATTTTCTTAAGAAACTTGACGAGGATGGCAGATCCTCTTCGTCGGCCTAAGTCGGCTTGAAATAAATTTAAACTTCAGAGTGTAACATTCTATCCTATTCATTTCCGAAACCGACTCTCTGGTTTTCAAGTTTCAAAGATATTTTTTTCTTTTTTTTCATAGCCCCGCACCTAGGGAAACCCTGTGTCGCGGGTGCCATAAATTACACCCAAACTCATGAGAGAAATAAATGTAGGTCACACAAATAATCTCTGCGTGGCAGACCTGTATGGTAACCATTCGACCACGGAGGCAGTTAAGGCAATTAAAACTTCCAGGAGCGGATAAGTGGTGCGAAGCTCCTACAGCGAGTGTCCGGCGTGCGGCCTGCCGTGATGTGGATATGTTCATTTTTGTTCGACTGGCTATGGCTGTTCGTCGTCTACCTTTGCATTATCATCGGCCTCGCTTGCTTTCAGGAGAACACACTTAAAACACCTGAAGAATTGGGTACGTCATAATACTTTGATTTCGAAGATTCGATATAAACAACTATCAAGTTGTTTATATCGAATCTTCGTTAATGAGTGATGAATATTACTAAGCTAACGGATAACTCATATGTTTAAGTAGAATTATTGCTCGATATTTTTTATGATACCAAAGGACGGGACGAACAAGTCGGGCGCTTTTCAACGTTGTATCTGTGTCAAATTTTCTTTGTTCTTATTTTATTCTTATTAAATTTTAGCGCGCGGATTGTGAGACGCGAGAACCCTCCCCCACACTTCACCTCCTAAAATCTAGACTCGCGTTAAAATACCTCGCCTTAACCCACATTGATCAGGCACGAAATGTATAAGCGGTCGTATAAAAATGTACAATGCCTCGTCTATACGGTCCAATTTTAGCGCACGTAAAACTAAGCGAGTTAAGTACGTCTTTGTACAGAGTCAAGAGCACGTCAAGGTTAAGATTTTAATTCAACTTTATGCCACTTACTATAACAACGATACGAAGTGATGAGTTTATTAATATTAATTAATGGAAAATGGTACCTCATGTAAGAGGCTGCTTTAGTTGTAGATTGTAGACGGGCCTTTATCGTTAGCGAATATTTATTCGTTTTTTTAGTAGCAGTAGAGCTCCATATGAAAGGGTTCGTCCAAGGAAGTACTGCCAACTTACCGATTTCTGCTGCAAGAGCAGCATTGTGAGCATTACTATATTTCGATTATGAAGAGTAAATAACGGTGCTGGTGAAATTACAGACACATTAGATTTTACGTCTTATGTCTCAGGATGGCGGGCGCATTGGCAGTGCCCTATTGTCGATTGAAACATCTGATCAGCAATGCAATAATTATGGACAGACGTGTCGTTTACCACCAGGCGCTCCACTTGTTTGTCCCGTCTCTTGCTATCACAAAAAAAAATCGCCACCAATACGAAAATGAAGTTTTCAACGTTTTATAATAAGTAAGTCTAATTTAGAACTGTTTATTAAATTCCAGGTAGAGTGCTATTAGTGTTGTCCGTGTTCTCTTTAGCTACGATACCACAGCACTACCTCGCCTGTTCCTACTTCGACGCGCCGGCCTCTGGATTCTCTAAGATGTGTTTCCTTAATATGTTTTTGGGTAAGTGCCGTACATATTTTACATGGCAAGTCACGACTCGACAAAGTCACAACCACTTACGATCTATAAATAAACAGTGAAGAAGGAGAATGAAAAATAATAGTTGAGGCTATTAGCGCAAAAGTGGTGAAACCCACATTTAATTTAGTAGAAGTAGAGCTCCTTGTGAAAGAGCCACCTTACCTATTCCTGCCGTCAAGCAGTAATGTGAGCATTACTATGTTTTGGTTTTGAAGGGTTAGGGTGCTGGTGAAATTACAGGCACATAGGACTTTTCAACTTATGTCTCAGGGTGACGGGCACAGTGACAGATCTTTGCGATTTAAAGCTCTGAGTGGCACTGCAAATGTTATGGATGAGTGTGTTGCTTACCACGAGGCGACTTGTTCGTCCCATCACTAGGTATCCATAAAAAATCCTTCATCGTTAAAGCAAGTGGTGATTGGAAATTTTAGCTAAATGTACATGAACCGAAAAGGCTCATGAGGCATTGGAATCGAACTCTGACCTCTCTAGGGATGGCAAGCGTTCACTATTCTAGGTTATCACTGTTGCCATATACGGCATCATTTCTTAAGGGCAAACCACAATTTTCCGAGAGGACAAGACACGTTACTAACTGGCCGTATTTGTCCATATTTTTCTTAAACTCGTTTAAGCGTATATTTATAACTATTTATTACAGTAGTGCTGTGAGCGAAGCATTCAAAAATTTTTTTTCTACAATATTACTTTAAATAATACTAAAGTACATAATTGTTATATATTTCGATGCTATTTTCGTGTATAAAAATATTAATAATTATATTACGTTGGTGATACTTGATTACTAAACTTAGTTGGAAGAAATCCCACATAAAAATGTTTGTTAATATCTGTAATTTCTTTCATGGTACGATTAAGTGTTAACATACATACATACTGTATATAAAATGAATTTGGCTCATTATATTCTATATGCATTTCACGGGGTTTACGCTTTAGCGCTAATAGCCTCAATTAAGCTTTATTATTAACTTAAAATGCATTACAAGTAAGAATTAAGTGTAAACCGTGCTAAATAAAGTTTCGCTTCAGGGACCGCTTTGTTTACGACAAATAACATTAGTTATTATTACTTAATTTATATTTTAGGTTGCATGCCATTTTTAATAATCGAAGTACTAAAACTTCCCGAAGTGGGAAGCCCATACTACGCGAACATATTCGACTGGGTGTTCTCTCCGCTGCCGCTGTACTGCTTAAGTAGAAGCTTCAGGTGAGTCTTCCATTCACTCATATAGAGGTACAACATAAATAAAATTTCACTATACATGGCAACTCAGCTCTGACCACGCAAATCAACAACTTCTGAACTGAACATAATGGTTTCAAACTAATCAACGTTTGATAACGCCGCTCTGATACCACGTGAAATACTCTATGGATCTCGGTGTCTTTGAGAGATAAGTTTACAGAAATTAAAACCTTTAAACCATAGTTTCCCAAAATGGTCCCTACCGTCCCCCAGTGCGCGCTGAAGAGTTCTAGGTAGGGGCGTCGGAAGCAATTCCCCCAATTGCGTTGCCAAATGCGTTGAAGCAGGCCACGGCGTGCTACAGCATTAAAAAAAAAAAATTGAATAACTATACTACGTTTATATGTATATTTTCAAATTTCTTTATCTTGCCTAACGGGCGGTAAGCAAAAATGTTTGGGAATCTATGTCTTTAACAAACGCGAGGTTCAATGCCCTGTACTACAAAATATTGCAATGTACCATTTCCATGCTAATTATTTTTAAATATGAACCCATCGTGTTTTCTTTATGTGGTAAATATTTTACCATTATACGTTTAAAACTGACGCAACGTAGTTTATTGAGTACGTAAAAAAACATATAAGGTGACAAATAATTTACCTTTATTTTTTTATTAAATTTATTAAAAGTTAACATTATTACACTACCGTCTACTATACTACTAAATCGAGGTATTAAATGTAATTTCTGTGGTTCTACTTAAAAGGGGTACAAGTCAAAAAAGCCAACTTTACAAGGAAAGGCGAAAAACTTTTAACGGCTTGAAACTGTTTTTCGCGTCTCCTTAAAAACGTAAACTTGAGTTTTTTGATTTGGTCCCCTTTTCACTAGAGCCACAGATTTATGTTAAGAATAGTAATTCTTTTTAATGAAAAATAGTGACAGCCAATATTAATACGACAAATAAAAATAAACTAGCTGGCCTTGACAGTCGTCTTCACAAAGTCCCAAATTCATTTAAGGGGCAATACACTTCTATAATAAGATTCCGGTTGATATACAAAGTTAGCCGTACTTGAGGTTCAAATCTATACTGAAACAAAAACTTTATACTAAAGTTTTTTGTTATACAGCTTTTGCGTACTAGGATGATAAAAATTCGTGCCCCGTTTAGCTCTTTCAGGTAGTCTCGATTTATGTTGTTTTATATTATAAATGATAAATGTGTACAAATATTTTTTTAAAAAACGAGCAACTTCTAGAGTTTGATTGTAGATAAATAATAATATATTTAAAAAATGTAAAAAGTCGCATGCATCCCGTTCCGTGGCATACATTGCCTTATTAATTGAGTTTTATTGTCCTGGATTAACCTTAACTTTCTAAGTTATAAATAGGGGATTATCGGTTCGCACTACTTATTTTTCTTACTTTACGTGTGTTCTTCAGGGACATGAGCGTGTCAGCATTCTCGATCCTTGCGTGCGACAGTCTGTGCGACCAGTTTGTCAACATTGCGAACTGCTCACGCGCCACTATCTGCAACCGTATGAACATCACCGTGTGTTGTAGTAAGTGAGTCCTCTAGATTCTGTGTATTTTGTAGACTTAGCTACATTTCTGCTTCTGTCTGTCACGCGTATGTGCTATGCATTTCTGTTTGAATAGGTTCAGACAGGCGTGTCGCTTACCACCAGGTGCACTTAGTATTATAAAAAAGAGCATATTAAAAACTATATTAAAAAAGCGGCAGAAACACTGGCTTTATTTCTGAATATTTTTATTTTAAAACGAAAATAAAGCCATTTGAAAAATGTATATCGTATATAGTATACGTGTTCTGTTTAGTTCAGTTGATGTAAAAAAAAATCATTGGTATATGTAAAGTACCTATCGTAAAATTTCGAGGTAAGTTTGGGTTTTTTTTCTAACGCGAACATGATTAGGAATCGTGTTTCGTGTTAATTAGTGCGTATCCTCAATTTTACTATATATTTTTTCCAAACTAATTGATTCAACACTTACACTGTTATGCGGAATCAACCAAAGCCATTTAAGGTTGTACAGACTCGTAATGTAATATAGGGATAGAGTGTGTTAGTATGACGTTTTTGAAAAGATTATCAATCGAGAACACTATCTATTTTCATAAATAAAACATCGTGAAGAAACCTGCATGATGAAGGTTCACAACCCTTGGGAACCGTGTGAAGTATGGCCGATGATGACCTACTTGAAGGAGACCAGCAGTGAGACGTATGATAGGATATGGATATCGTTTGTGTGGATTTTTATGACCCGCGAATTTTTAGTAGCTTTGCGAGATATTTCCAATTTGTATATGGTGCAAATTAGTAAAGCATAGAGCAAGGATCACGGTGACACCAATAAACGAAATTCTTATTTTTTTTTAAATTTTCAGTCGAAGACAACCCTTATCTGAAATGGAACGAGCCAGGCATCGGCCGGTACCTCTTCATGATGACGTTAGTCGGCGTTATATTGTTCACCGTGTTGCTCCTTAAGGAATATGAAGTTTTTAATGAGGTAAGTCTTTTATTATATATACAAAAACTGAACAACACAAAAAAAATTCGGTCATTCGGTCTGACTGGATACGAACCAGTGTCAGTTGCCACACCGGGGCAACCGCTCTTACCAACAGAGCTAAGACGCTGCGATCGTGTACAGTTTTTTTTATAATATCACGTGACGGGACAAACAAGTCGTGCGCCTGATGGTAAGGTAGACGCCTGTCGCAAAGATCAGAGCCACTGCGCCCGTCACCCTGAGACATTAAGTAGACAAGTCCCATGTGCCTGCATTGTCACCAGCACCCCTACCCTTCAACACCGGTACGCAGTAATGCTGACATTACCGCTTGGCGGCAGAAATAGTTAAGGTGGTAGTACTTTCCCTGGACGACCACTTTCACCGGGAGCTCTACTGCTACTAGAGATTCCCGAACACAACCAAATGTATAATGTGTGCATTGTTTCACATCAATTTGTTGATCCACCTATACTGCCCTCCTTGTCATAAACAACGCATTTGCATGTTGGTAAATTTCGAGATATTGACACCTAAAGTTTTTTTCTTTAAAAAATGTTAATTATGCTGATTTTGCTTAACGATAAAATTAAAACTAAATAAGATATGAAAAGGGGTGTTGTAGGTTTCGTTTCGCTAATTCAAGATACCGCATTTGAAACCAAATACTGTCGTCGTAGCTTAACATTGTGGAATTATTATCAATATCTAACAGTGTTATCTATTCACATAACTTATTAGACGGAAATTCGGATGCTTATTTACCTACAATTTCATGCTCGCTAAATATGGAATGCGTTTTTGTATCGTAAAAATACCGCGCCACCGGGATTGTTAAAAACATGCAGTAAAGTATATAATTGAAGGAAAATTTGTTATTTGTAATTTTATATAACATTTACATAATTTTTTCTTATATCTAGAAAGTTGAAAATGTAAAGACATAAGATATAAAAAAAAATGGGAAACTAACGTGAGACTCCGACATAGTCACTAAATACGCGGGTTACGTATTACTCACGTGGTATTTTTAAGAAGCCTCTTTTATACTTTCGTAGCGAATCAGGGGCAACAGTGAACTTTAGGTATAAAAGCATCCGAGTTTCCGACCACTGTATCGATGTGAATTTAATTTTAAAATTAATATTAATTATTTGTATGTATTAGGATAGTTAGGATTTCGATTATTATTTTAAAGATTTTATTTAATACTAACTTTGTATACATGTCTGTGGACTACTCTCAAGGGGGTGATTCACGTAATCAAACCGTTACGATATCGTAGCGATTTAGTCGGTGAACTGCTTTTTCGTATTCACATGTGACAGTGAACGCCAACGAGTCCAATTTTAAAGTCGTTCGATCTAAATGTCGTTAAAGTGTATTCTGGTATATGTATCGAACTTGAATCGACTCTAAACGACAAGTTATACGTATTCTGCTAACATTTTGACAGTTCTTTCAATAGACTTTCGACGACTAAATGTCAAATTTCACAATCCAAGATGTCGTCATTATTCGTTACGTTTCGATTCTACTCATATCAACGTTCGTTCAAGTGATACGTGAATACCCATTTTGGATAGGACTTCCATCTAACGACTACGTAACTTCAACGATATTTTGATAGCTTGAACTTACGTGAATCGCACTACTGAACTGCCCATGTAAATTTACATACTGAGAAATTAAGGACTTTAGTCTGTATTGTATACTTGCATAAATTAATTAATTAATTGAGAAAACACTTTTTTTAAATAAATAAAAAATACTGAATAAAACCAATACCTATGTACATTCTCGTTTAGAAATTGATAATTAAGTGTTATCTATAAACCAAAAAAAAAATCACATTATTCGCAATAAAATCCATACAATATTTTCTTTTATTTTATTTTCAAATTATGTTTCTCTGTTTCACAATTTTGATTTACGACAGTATTTGGTTTCACGTGCGATATTAATGTTAATAAATCAATTTCGCTAAAATATTAGTTACGTCGTTTATGATAAGGATGGCAGATTCATTAACTAGAACAGTATTTATAATACAGCTTGAGTTTGTGACACATTGTCTACAGCTAAAGCTGCGCATAGAAAAGAAATCTCACATCTACCCACAACCGCCTTTACCGACGGATGAAGATAGCGACGTAGCGTTTGAAAGGCACTACGTGGAGTCCCTCCACCGACGCAAGCTCGTCGAACAGAGCCTCGTGTGCAAGGACCTTACTAAATATTACAAACATTTCTTGGCTGTGAACAGACTTACATTTGGTAAGTATATTGTAACTGAGAAGGATGTATGATCGGTCTATTTTGTATTTGAATTATTTAATCGAAATCGATAAGATTTTAGATTTTTTGGTTGCTTGAATGTCCTTCAAACTAGTCTTGATTTTGAGTTAAAAATAATTCAAGTACGTAGCGTGCATTACGCAAGATATCACTCAGAACTGATATTCGCTGTTATGTCAATCAGCTGACGTCAGTTTATTGTCATGTTTACATAACTTTTTGTAATTACTAAGCGGACAACTAGATACTGGCGAAAGCAGAAAAGCCAATAAGCACAAATAAGGTGTTTTACCCTTTCATGATATGACAATAACGTCTTATGATTATTAGTATAAAGATCGAACACATTGAACCATTTGTTGACCCGATGGGACTTGAACCCATGACCACGCTGTTCCGTAGCGCAGCTCTAACCAACTGAGCTACAGGTCAAGTTATTGAGTTGTCGAAATTCTCCTGTGTGCTTTTGGTCTTTGTACTGGCATTTTTTTGGCGCTCATCGCCGCTAGTGACATGTAGTGAGAGATTTTAGAACCTTCTCAATGCCGAACAATAATTTTCATTTTGATACGACTGCCTTATTGCATCATTACGGAATGACGTTTTAAGTCAATTTGATCTTTTAAGTACATTACATAAATAAAAATTTCAAGGTTCTCAGAACCAATAGGTCGACAAGGTGTCCGGCGTTTTAGGGCATTAGGGCATCGACTGTATAGGTATAACTAGAGTAGTCACCCGAGGCACTGGCCTCTTGAAAACCGAATAAAGTCTGTGAAAACCCTGTAGACTGGCTGATCCGGGGTCAGGACCTGAACTTAGAAGGTCCCTGTGCTTGCACAGGTTATTGTGCCCGCATATCCAAGAGGTTGATAGGGAGGGTAACTTTAATCAAAACACATGTCGAAGATACGGGAGCTGTACATAACTAGTTTTATGAAATTATTTATTTTCCTTTTAGCGGTTCGAAACGGCGAATGTTTCGGGTTACTCGGCATCAATGGGGCAGGCAAGACGAGCACGTTCAAGATGCTGACGGGCGACTACCCCATCTCGCTGGGCGACGCTTTCGTGCACGGGGTCTCTGTTAAGTCAAACATTCGGGAAGTGCACCAATACATTGGTAATTAATATTTTAAATTCTATTGTCACACCACACTAGCGTTATTGACTACATTTGCCTTAATAGTGCCACATAACAGTTTTCGTAACTTTATTTTGGTATAGGGTGCTGGATTTGATTTCGTTTTACTGGCACTTATTATTTTCTTTACTGTAGTCTGACTTTTTTAAAGATGGAGTAAAATGACAGTTAATTGCGCAAACATATTGCTCGCTTACTAGTAACTAGTGATTGCAGTCGATGAATGTTCTATCGACTATCGACTGAATGTTGATCACGCTTATGTAAGTTTACACATACATACACTACATTTAGAATTATATCTATTAAAAATACAAAGAGGAAACATATTTTAAAGTTTTTCAGTTTAATTCAATGTAAATAATTAAATCCGCTTGTTTTTGTTAAAATGTATGTAAATGAAAACTTATTTCGATACTAGTTGGCCAACTATCAAAATAACAATGAATAACGCTATAATCAATTATCACACTCAAACACACGACCAATTTTTAAATATTGTCTTAGCAATCTCAAGTAATATAATATGATATAATATAATATAATATAATATAATATAATATAATATAATATAATATAATACAATACAATTGTAGTACAGTACAGTGCAGTGCAGTGCAGTGCAATGCAATGCAATGCAATGCAATGCAATGCAATACAATACAATATATTTTTTATATAATATCAAGTGAAGGGATGAACAAGTCGTGCGCCTGATGGTAAGCTACATGCCTGTCCATAACAGTTACAGTGCCACTCACAGCTTTAAATTGCAAAGGTCTGAGGGGCACTACCACTGCGCCCGTCACCTTGAGACATAAGTTGACAAGTCCCATGTGTCAGTAATTTCATCAACACCCTTACCCTTCAAACCTGGAACATAGTAATGCTGACATTACTGCTTGGCGGCAGAAATAGGTAAGGTAAGAAAAAGGCAGTACTTTCCTGGACGAACTCTTACACAAGGAGCTCTACTGCTACTAAAATACTACATACTCCTCTCTTTAGTTATTAAAAAAAACAAGTTATTATTGTACAACAGTTTTTTTTGTACAACTGTTTTTATTGTACATCAGTTGTACATCTGTGTAGATTTAGGTGATGGAGAGCCTGGAGATTCGCAACACAGGTATTTTCCTAGTGCAAAGTCCAGCTTATATATTATATATAAGCTGGAGTTTGCACTTATTATACAATGTGTTGATTTGCATTCTCGCCATATTTACAGAGGTCATTCTATATACGAAAGTGAACCCAAATCGCTAAAAAATAAATTTCCTAAATTCTTATTTTTTATTTAATTGCGGTAACCAAGTTTGATCCAAAGGTCAGGTTGACTTGTACTATACGTGCCACAGGTACCGGCAACCATGTGAACAATGACCTATGCGCAGTATACGCAGGAAGTAAGCATTTTCGACCTATTTGGTGGCAGGGTGCTAGTAGAGACGGGAGGAGATCGTATCGAGTATCTGATTGGTAGATCATCAGTCCACCTTACTTATTGCGTCTGCGTTCATCGCGCATACGTTCCAGTTTGTGACAAAATGCAATGTGGTTTGTGTGTGATGTAAATAAGAGTTAGTGCAAAAAGCTACCATGTGCATTACCATAAAGTGCGTTCTTATGCCATGATGTGAAACGAACGAAACTCTGCATATCTGTGGCTGGCTCCTGTACAGAGCCTGCCACCAGCTGTGGAGCTAGGTACTTCTAGCACTACTTTTATGTAACCTAAAGTTGGTAAGTACCAAATCTAAATTACAAAAAATCTTTTTTGATCTTTCAACGACTTTTTTAGTCGTAGCGCCATCTATGAAAAATATATTGCCGATTTATCACCCAGTTAGTACCTTTACAGCTACCAGTCCTGGCGAGAGATGTCGCTATTCACTGTCTTAATTAAATTTTTATTGAATTGATATTCAATTATTTTTTGTGAAATTACTCCACTAGTTTGTTATAATTATTAATACAAAGATCGAACACTCAGAAAAAATTCCTTCGATCCGGTCGGATTCGAACCGACGTCTTCTTGCATACCGTGCCAGACGCTATACCAACTAAGCCACGGAACGAACCAACGGACCTCACGAATTTTTCTATGTGCTTGCGTCGTGTCTTTGTACTTGGTCTTTCAATGACTTTTTTAGTCGCAGCGCGAAAAAACTCATGTAAATAATTAGTAAATTATAATAATACTAGTACATAAACATGAATTAAAAAATAGGTAAATAAGCGATTGAGAATGTTTACGTATCGCTCGGTGAAGCGAGTGGCGGGGTCATTGTCCTCTGCGGTGAGTACACTTGCGGGACAATTTTACAAAATTTTACTAGATACAATTAGCCAGAATATTGAACAGAATATTTTGTAAATATATTTAGATGATTTAGCATTATTTCTATTATAAATTTCTTAAATATGGCAAGAATGCAAATGAAGACCCCGTATATATTATAACTTAATATTAAAAGGAACCTTTTAATATTAAGTTATTGTACCAAAACTTTTATACTTTACATTTGTAGAGAGTAATAAATATTTTTGTATTTAGTATTTTTTTGTATTAGAACATCGTAACTTCACAATTCAGATACTTTTGGCTAAATTTGACCTGTCACAATATATCGATACAACTACATGACTATTTAAAATTTTTTGAAAGCAAGCCACCCTGCAAATGTAATTTTACTCCGTCTTCAAAAAAGACAGACTATAGACCTGGTAATTTGTGCAATTCTTTCATGGTGTTTTAATAAGTGTCCAGTAAACATTGCTAACCAATACATTAGGTATATACTGTCACTGTACTGCTAATTCTGACGACCTCGGTGACTATTGCTTTGTGGGCGCAAGATGAGCGAGGTTCCGAGTGCGAGTCCCGGTTATGAACTTTTCTAAATTGGTTCTTTCCTGGGCGTTCTAATTAGTGCCCCGGAATGAGTACCTTTTGCCTGGTACTCATAGTACAGGGAACTCCCTAGTGGGAGACTAGGTGATTGCCCGGCAAATTATTATCATTATAATTAAAATAATAAATAAATATTAGACAACATGACATACGTTGCTCCGATCCCAAAGTAAGTAACTAAAGCATTTGTTATGGATATCAGAGACAACGACGGTATCGCAAACAAATTCCTTCTTAAATTTAACGACGCCTTCTATTTTCAGTAGAACCAAATTTAGATAATGGTCTTTTCTGAGTTGGCTTTTGGTACTTACAATACACGGAATTTCCCAGATTCAGACCATATAATTAGTACGTAATGATTGACTATGCCAGAAACCAAGTACCAAAGCAAAGAAATTCACTCCGGAGCACATATCAAAACATTTACCAAATTGGTCCAACCGGAGATCGAACCTGGGCCCTCCTAATCCTTCCGGACTTCAGAGATGATGACATAATGAAAACCGGTGTGTCGTCTAATCGTTAAATAATTGTAATTAAATGGCCCTAAGACTATTTGATTTTGCTTGAAAGACTATTTATTCCCAAAATCTCCCAGGTTATTGCCCGCAGTTCGACGCACTGTTCGACAATTTAACAGCTCGTGAGACGTTGAGGATATTCTGTCTAATGCGAGGGATTCCCGTCAAGACTGGTGCGAAGCGGGCTATGAAACTCGCTTCTATGCTCGGTTTCACTAAACACTATGATAAGAAGGTGAGATTTAAAAAACGATTAAGGGTTGGTACCCACTTGGCCACATACGACACCGGTATAGTATCAAAAACGCCATCATCGGTACTAAGTCGCAAGTGGATTGTGGCTAGTCGCCCATAAAAAAAACATTTTTTTAAAAGTGCAGTGCGATTGGATGCAGAATGGAATCTAACCCTTATTAACTTGAAGGTTGAGTTGTAAATGTCATAAAATAATTTAAAAAAATAAGACAATTTTTGTGTCCATCCCAAATTATTTTCAGTATTTTTTTTAAATACTTGAATAAAAAATAAGCTTATTATGCTGTACTTTGGCAGGTTTGCGAATGCAGTGGCGGGACAAAGAGAAAAATTAGCACTGCGGTTGCGCTCCTTGGGGATTCGCCACTCATTTTCTTAGACGAGCCTACGACAGGTAAATTATAAACAAGACCCCACGTAATTAGTCAGGAACAGGAATTATTAATAAATAATTGCGTATCTAGCACGCAAAACCGACCAATAATGGCTAATGTCGTCACGTGATTATTGCAACCAATGGAAAGTACAGTGTTTTATGTACAATACAATTTAGTACATTCTGAGTACAGCTGTGTAATCATCGAGTATATAACCAGAAATAGAGACGAAATGCCATTTAATTTGTTTGAAAACTATTCTGCCAAATCATTACTGTGACAACTGCGCTCAGATTGGCCAGCCCGAATTCGAAACAATTGACGTGTATCGTCAATTGTTTCACTTCAAATCGACCAATTTAACTTGAGCTTTGCTATAATGGACGAATATTGAAAAATTAAATATTTAGTTAACGACGAAATGTAATTCTGTTTGTTTTATAATTAGATGTTTTGCTGTTTTTCCCACACCACCGAATGGAACAGACCCCATTCTTAAAGATATTATCTTTATTGCAATAAAGACATAATATTTCTGGAATATACGGAGACGTTGTCAACATGTCAGTTGTTGGCGTTATACTATTTCAGTTTTCTAATTTGTGATTTCAGCTCAAACGAGAGTTGATATTTAAAAGTGATATAAGGCCCATTTACTTGATGAGTTGCCAGGGGTGGATGGCCCTATTTCGTGTCTTATTTATGGTTATATTCTCGATGTGTGTAATCAATCGAATATAGACTGTTATGGTTTGGGCCACTATTCTTGAAAAAGCAGTACCTAGACGTTTTAAAAGGCGTATTTTCAGGTAATGTCAGAATAGTCTTGTTGAAATTATCCCGCGTGCAGCGCGACATAACTGTTACGTAAACTGTCACTCCTCCCCACTGCGGTAGCTACCTCAGGAACCAACCCAGTAAACCTGTAACAAACTAGTCACCCTGCCTGACAAAACATTTGGTATCTGGGGTGGTTATGTACCACCGGTGGCTATTTGAAAATCTGTCATATCCAACAAGAAATGACGGTCATTTTGATCCCGGTCTAAACTTGTTCTTTTACTACTACTTTTTTTTTAAATTCAGGCATGGATCCAGCTTCTAAACGCTTAGTATGGAGCTCAGTGAGTGACGCAGTGGCAAGTGGGCGTAGCATCGTACTGACGTCGCACAGTATGGAGGAATGCGAGGCATTGTGCTCCAGACTCACAGTAATGGTAGCCGGGCGACTGCACTGCCTTGGGCCACTGCAGCATCTTAAGAGTAAATTTTCGCAAGGTAATGACTTATCATTTTTGAGGTCAAGTACACCGTCGCCTTTGGAATGAAAATCTCGCATATGCATTTTGACGTAATTTGTTTTTTGTTGAAGCAAAACTTATAAACTTCTTGCTTAAATTATTAAATTAATATAGCATCTGAAAGTAGTATAATTCACCAATTAAAATGCTAAACTACGAACGTTATTGTGTTTATTATATTTTACATCACATTTTTGTCTTTTTCCTGAAAAAATCCATAGAAATCACATACGAGGTTTTTATTCGCTCTAAGACAATGATACCTGTATCTATTCCTATAGACACTACTGCTGTTTATCTGAACCGGACATTGTAAAATAAATCATTGAGATACTTTCTTTGCTTGCAAAACCGCAGTAGTGTAGGAAAACTTCATCTTCATCTGTTTATCTGCTATCTTCATTGTTTTGCTGGGTTCGAAGTGATAATTATCATTAATAATTTTTATGATAATTGTCACGATAATTATCATTGATAAGTTTTATGATAATTGTCACGATAATAATTATCATTGATAAACTTTTATGGTAATTGTCACTAAAATTATCTTAATAAATATATTTTAATAATTATCTTGATATTTAAAATTAACAGAACAACACAATGCGGTTTGTATCAAAGACAACCAAATATGTCAAAAGTCAATTTTAACATAAAGTCACAAACCAAATCGTTTTCCCTAAGACTTTTCGTCATGTTTACCTTCGATTTATCACTGTTTGTCACTTTCAGTCAACAATTAAAGAGACAAAACTATTAATCGGCATGAATAATTATCATATATGTACCGGATAATTATTATATAATTGTCAAATAAAATAAATACTAGAATAGTTAATTTCGGAACTTGTTGTTTAGTCACATTCGTTCAAGTCTATGTTCAGCTCGGGTTCCTAATTATTCAGAGTCCCGAAAAAAGTAAGTACACCCCAAAGGTGGGAAATAGATGTTTTATTATTATATAGATTGTCATTTTATTTGTATTTTTTTATTTTAACAGGATACACGTTAATAATAAAAAGCAAAAGTTTACCTAAAAGAGACGATAACGTAGCAACTGTCCATCAATACGTCACAAAGGAATTCTCCGACATCCGGCTTGTGTAAGTTCTTGATTATTTCTTTTAGCTTATTGCCACACTAAACTACAGCCATAATTGAGGCTTTAGCGCAAGTGCTGTAACCCCATAAAATGCATATTGAAGATGAGAGATTTAAATTCATTTTATTCATAGTAATCAATCATATATGACCAATATACATTTATTTTCTATCATTTTAGTATCCAAATATATAATAATTATGTATAGTCTGTCTAGTCATTTTTGGGAAAATTTTAACTACTTTCACAATCTATCGATAAAACTATCGATAACTACTACATGACTATTTAAAATTTTACGAAAACTGGCAACCCTGCAAATGCCATTTTACTCCATCTTCAAAAAGATACTATACTTTAATGTCATTTAAAGTAATATTGTAAACAGAAATTAAATGTGGGTTACACCACTTAGATTTAAATATGGTGATGATCTTTGGAACTTTGAAGGAAACCCCTTCGTCCAATCACCATCTTCTGATTTTGCGGGACGCGCGCGGAGAAGTTAATGATTCGTGGAGTATGTTCATATAATTTTGAATGAATGGATTAAACCAGTTTCACTACCTAGCAGCAGGAGGACTAGAACGATTATCAGTCTCGAGTTCGACTAATCACTGGACGTGACGTCTCTGAGGCCCCTTTATTCTACTTCTAGCTTAGTTTAACTGAATAATCTGACCACTGATAAAAGATAAACATCTTCGTAATTTCCATGTATTAGTTATTCTACCTTACTAGTGAATAACACATGGAATATATTTTCTGTCAATTTGGTTGTATAAACCTCTACAATATTCCTTGAAATACTTTTGTATATTTGGGAATATATGATTAAAAGTACTTAAAATTTCCAGTGAAACCTACCTGGGCATCAGCACATATTACTTAAACGATGTCGGTTTGCCATGGTGGCAGGTATTCCACATAATGGAGAAAGACCGAGATTCTCTCCCCATAGAAGACTATTCCGTGACTCAAACAACGTTGGAACAAGTATTTCTCATGTTTACAAGGACACAGGGCGAAACGGAATCAAGAGTATAGTTTGACAAGTTAGTAGAGAATATTGGTTACTTGACAATATTCTCTACTAACTTGTTAAACTTATTTAATGAGGACTCAATCTCAGAATTACAATGTATTAGTAACTGATCTGATGATGTAATGGTAAGCTACTCATCAGTAGTTTTGCAGTAAGCGTGTCCGATTACTAAATGTTCAAGGTCGGGTACAGTCCAGCTGTCAGTAGCAAACCCGTCTGACGTATTTTCGTTCAGGGAGACCAACACACGCAACCAAAGTGTTTTTTGTACGTGCGTAAATATGGGTGCAATACGATTCAAGACCACGCAGGGGTCCATTAAATTATCCTTTCATCACATTCGTATGTATATAGTATGATTACCTTTTTTCTTGGCTGTAATGAGAAGAAAAAAGGCCCGAGCGTCTTATTTGAGGCATTATAGTCAAGTGTGCATGCAATCATACTATTTACACGCAAATGTGATGAAAAACATTGTATGTTTCACGGGCGGTACGGGAATTACGAACCTCGACAGTCTTCGCCTTCGGGCTTCTGTTAGAGTCTCGTTCGCAATTCCTTATTTACCGCCCTTAAAACACAATGCACTATTAAAGGAATATTACAATTTCTTTACCTTAGACCAATGCTGTTAAACCTTTTGTTATTGTATAGCTAGCTGTACCTGACGTATAAATACTGTTGTTATAAACCGTCATACTAGGTAAAATTACGTCACAAATCTACCTAAAAAAACTTCTAACCGTCGCTTAGGAAACAACATCGTTTAATAGGTCTCACAAGGTGCGCTGACGGCGAAAAAAGTCGTTCAGCCCAATGCAATCGCAGTCGGCTTGCGAAAAGGCGTGGCAAACTACTTTCCGCTGGACGGAACGATCTTTTTATTATTTGTTTAATAGCGGCTACTGTGCTTGGGCCAGTGTCAGTTTCGATGTACCTTGCCAAATAATATTGATCAAGAACGCCAACCCTTGGCAGCAAGCAAGGTATTTATTTTTGGAAGAGCTTCTTCGACGGACTGCTGCGTTTTATTTTCTCTCACAGACGACTACAGACGATCCCTCTTACGTAAAGTATCGTATGTCGAAATTGCCCAGTTGATACGGGAAAAGTTTTAAAGTTCTGAGTTCACTGAAATGAGCATACCACGTGACTTTAGCATTTCTCAGTTTTATTCGGCAAAGCTCATATAGAGTATTATAAAATCCTAGATATCGGTTAGATGATCTATGATGATCTATTAGATGATCACTCTACGACATACGATACTTTGCGTAGGAGGGGTCGAGATACTTGATAAAAAATTAAAATAAAGTGTCAATATGAATAGAAATAATACTATTACTTTTTATGCATAAATTCAGCACCTAATAATAACAATAGCTTAAAAAAAGTTGTATACAACAATACACTCCCGAACATATAGATGATTTAAAAAAACTGAACTGTATCTGATGGACGAATCCGCCGAGTCGTAGACTTGCTCAATGTTGTTACATGGTTGTTCAATGAATAAAAAACTCGACAACTAACTCAAAATAAAATTCTTTATTTATCATATTATTTCGAGACACCTTGTATTTTTATTTTCAAAGGCCTAGAATGCAAAAAAATATTGTCATCATTGAAGAAAAAAATTTCCCGGTTTTACAAATCCAAATTTTCAACAAGGACTTGAAGTTTAATAATCAAACATTGTTTAAGTTTAGGGCATTTTGATTCTGAAAATTCAAGTTTGAATATTCGTGAATTATGTCCGTGAGTGTACCTCTCTATGCAGTTTTTTTCAAATTACAATGACTTGAAATAACTTGAGCAGTATTGCTTACTAAGCGACGATATTTGAAACCGATACAAACCATGTACTTATCAACGATTTTGTATTATCTAGATGGTAGGTACAAACAAAATGAGTGTAAACATTGGTATTTGAATGTTGATCTTATTTATATACTGTAGCAAATTTTTTCGAATAAAGTAGGTTAAGTTTTTAAACCCTGTTGACGTCTTTTCTGTTTTTACTTGTGGATATATATTGTCGCAAATCTTTCAGTTCTCTTGCACTTACTTATTTCATTATTATTATAGGCACAAATGCAACATATTTGCAACTCATATAGTTCGTTTCAATCCATTCTACATAAAAGGTAGACAAACCGGTCATTGGCCCGACCATAGACAGTTTAGTGATGATCAATGGTACTGCTAACTACAAATCAACTGATTAATTGAATGATTCGATTTGTTTAATTGAATAATTTTGAATAACAAATTATACTTAGATATTTGTTTGATTTTTTTATTGAAATTTTCGATTTACCAATCGATTACTAAAACTTAATGTTATTCCGATCTCAAAATAACTAACTAAAGCACTTGTGTTATGGAAATCGGAAACAGTGACTGCACCATGTGAGAGTCAGAATGGCGGGTGTACCTTAACGGATCCTGACAAATTTGGTACAAAAAATGTACCTAATTTGTACTATTTAGTACCTCTGTTTAAAAAAATTGTGCCTTCATCACAGCGAAGTTATAGCAATATCAAAGGTACACCCGCCGTATTGACAGTCAATAAGGCGGGTGTACCTCGGATTACCAGTATTTATTTAATAACTATAAATTCTAAAAACTCTTATTCCAAAAATTTGTACCTTAATAGTACTCTGAAGTAAAGGAAACTCCAGCTCGATCTGTGGTTAGTTTCTGAGAAATAAGACAAAATATGTTGAGATTTCAGAGTGCCGTGTGCATCTTAACGAATCCTGACATATTTGGTACCAAAAAAATCGACCAAAATTTTTTCAAAACAAATATACGCGATTTTATTTTTTCAAAACAAGTATACGCGATTTTGTTTTTTCAAAACAAATATATGCGATTTAAATCCGGAAAAATAGTTTCATTTCCTATGTGTGTAACAATCGCGAAAACCTAAGAACTCGACAAAATTGTACTGTTTAGTACTTATTCTTAAAAAAATTGTACATCTATAATAACGAAGTTGTAGCGAAATCAAAATTGTAAATATTATCCTAATTTTTTTTAATAAATTTCCGCCATTTATTACCTACCTAGGCAAAGGTTCCACCATACAGCCTTTTCATATATCAGTATCTTTCCTTGTTTGGATTGAAAAGATTACAAGCGCGTGTCCTTAATATAGTTTATTTATACATTTGACAAGTACCCTCACTTTTTCGAGATCAAGTTGAAACCTTCATATATACATGAAGGTGTTAGTTATTCCGCTTATTGAGTGATTGCTTAAGAATTTTTACGAATGGATTGGAACTAACTATAATTTATTCCAGGCCTACCGCTTAACTGAGTCGGTTTCTGAGGTAGCTACCGCGATGCGGGAGGAGTGACAGTTTACATGAACAGTTATGTCGCGCTGCACATGGGATAATTTCAACAAGATTTTTTCTGACGATATTCAATAATAAGTTGATTGAAAATAGTTCCTACCAAATTAGTCAATTGTTGTTTCGTGAAACTATAATTTAAAAAACTAATAATTATTGAAATTCAATCCATTCAAGAAAGTCAAGCCATTTGGCACTTTTTTCAATGAACTTGTTATTGAATATCGTCAGACAAATCTTGTTCAAATTATCCCGTGTGCAGCGCGAGCTAACTGTTACGTAAACTGTCACTCCTTCCGCACAGCACAGCTACCGCACGAACAGACTCAATGAAGCGGTAGGCTTGTACTTAAATATTTTATTCGCCATAGTGTCTAAAACGTACTTTAATTAATGCAAATTATGAACATTTTGTTCTCATGTACAGTAAGATTTTCTGAAGAAACTGATCTCAATATTGTAACGCCAACAGTTATCTTTCTCATAGTACTTACAATATATTTTCTTAATTATGACGTTATTTATATAACTCTTATACATGTCTATACATATTTAAACTAATATAATGTTGTAACAATATTGTAATTGCTAATAGATATTATATATTTATTGTATAATTTTATTGTAATTATTTTTTTATAAGATGACACGGTAGCGATACAGAATTTAACCAAAATATTTTGGTAGTACGGTTTAAATAGGACACGACAGTGATGACCTTTGGGCTAGGTACATCTTTGTCTCTATTTCGAAAAGGAACTTTATAAATTAGTTCTAGTTTGGGCGTATTCTGGGTTATGACCCTATTTCGTCCCTAGTTAATTGATGTAATGTGGAGACTGGTTAATTTGTTGATTGGTAATTCTAAATCTTGACAGATTATAATCATTATTACTGTCGTAGATTATTAACCCGTCACGACCCCTAAAGATACATGTGTCCCTATCTATTTTAGAACTGTAACTGAGCCACGTCACTTTAAAAAAAATTAAAGTTAATCTTTTTTTTAAACAGAACATGTGAAAAAGTGTAAGAAAATGTGTTTTTCAAAGTAGCTCTGTTTGTCAGATTTGTTATCGTACAGAATAAATGTAAAGTTCGTACTTCAATTAATAATTCATTTTACAATTCTTAAAATATGACAAAAAATTTTAATTCCTGTTGAAGAAATAATGTAAATTGAAAAATTGCTATTACGGCTTTGTCACACCTAACGCGGGTCACACTGGGAATTCTTAAATGTATAAGTACTTAAAGTGTTGCTATAACATTAAATGTTTTAAAAATAGCAAATTTACCTCGTTCTATATGTGTAAACACTTTGTATTGTAAAAATGTTCCTAAATCATTATTTTCACAGTTGTTGACTTAGAATAGCGAAAACGAAATAAGATCATTATTTTTTGTGTTATAATGTTACCAATACGTATCATGTACTGGAGTTAATACACAGAGTTATTTGTAAAATACCAACCTCGCATTACTAACATCATAAGCAGCAACATTTGTTTCAAGACTTTCGTACAAAAATAAAATTATTTAAATAGATCGTTCTAAATGGCGTGCAGTGGTAACTCTGTCCGGTAGCAAAAGAAAGCACACACCACCAAAATTGTTTTTATGATTTACAACACGCGAGAGGAGTTACTAAACGACTTACTAAAGGCCTACAGCTTAACTGAGTCGGTTCCTGAGGTAGTTGCGCGGTGCGGGAGTGACAGTGGAAGTGGTCCCTGCCCCTCACTGGGCGCTAAAGAGGGGATAAATTGGGGATCGTTGATGCTATCCAAGGAGAGCTACCGCAAAAAAACCTGAATTATCTATATAAATTATAAACTACACTACTAATAAATTTGTATAGAATTGACATTAAATTATTTTTTGTGAAATTACTCCACTAGTACAAAGATTACACTTAGAAAAAATTCCTTCGATCCGATTAGTTTTTTTTAAAAACGACTTTTTAGCCGTAGCGCCACCTATGAGAAATCTATGCTAGAAGACGTCGGTTCGAATACGGCCGGATCGGAGGAATTTTTTGTAAGTGTTCGATCTTTGTATTAATAATTATAATACACTCCAAATATATATTTTTTTTTTCATTGTGATTTTTGGTGTGAAGTTAATATAAAAAAATTCGTGCTTTCAATCATTTTCGTGGTGGTGGGCGTTGAAATTTTTTTATCTTGCCTAAGTGGTCGGTGAGTTAAAAAGTTTTAAAAAACAGCGAGCCATTTGGCACTTTTTTCAATCAACTTGTTATTCAATATCGTCAGAAAAATCTTGTTGAAATAGTCCCGTGTGCGGAGCGACATAACTGTTACGTAACCTGGCACTCCTACCGCACCGCGCAACTACCTCAGGAACCGACTCAGCTAAGCGGTAGGCGTGTACCAAGTGCGTACAGATCTATAAGTGTCAGGTAGTACAACAAAAACTTATGTTTGGTAAATTTATTATGTTTTGGAAAAAGTCATGGAACAAAAGTTGTTGTTTATGATGTTAGAAATATAGTCCTGAAAGGCTGTTAGTATTTTACAAATAATCATATATTTCTTATTTTATAAATAGCTAGTACAAAAACATGTGTTATTAGAAGAGTACAAAATTTTATATGGATTTTCTTTACAAAGATATCCTTTCTTATAAATTTAATACACGGTAACTGTGAAAAAGAAGCTTTATCTGGGTCGACACAAGACACAATCACGTGATTCTCGTCACGTCCATAACCATGTCCATAACCATGAAGATAAATGTGTAACAAAAACTTTA